ATTCTCAGGTCATGAAATCTCGTATTTCATCACAAAAATGAGGCTGTCGTTACTTCTGGAGAATCTTTAATAGTATCAATATTAAGGGCAAATCTACAATTCCACCTCTCTTGCATGGTTCAGACTTTGTCACCTCACCTAAAGACAAAGCTGAATTGTTTGCTAAGAGCTTTTCATCAATATCATCCCTTGATTCCACTGTTTAACAAATGAAAACTGTTTAACAAGTGTTTATCAGAGTCTTATTTTTGAGCCTGCTGGAGAGCAGCATCTGTTATCCCTATTTTCAAAAATTCTGGAAAGCATTCTGACTTCGTCTAACTACCGTCCCATTAGAATTCTTCCTATCATAAGTAAGGTTTTTGAATCTTTAATTAACAAACCCTTAATCTCTCATCTTTAATCTAACAACTTACTTTCTGATCATCAATATGGATTTCAATCTTCTCCCTCTACAGCTGATTTGCTAACAGTAATAACTGATAGGTTTTATCATGCATAAGATAAAGGTGGAGAAGTTAAGGCCATCAATATTGACATTTCTAAAGCTTTTGATAAAGTTTGGTATGCTGGTCTTCTCCATAAGCTTTCTTCTTATGGTGTATCTGGTAACATCTTTAAGATTATTAAATCCTTCCTTTCCAATTGTAGTATAAAAGTTGTCCTTGATGACAACATCTTCATCTCCTGTATCTTCATTGGTTCCTCAATGTTCTATTCTTGGCTCTATTTTTTTTTTATTTGCGCTAATGATCTCCCAGAAATTCTTACAAGATGGCATTGATAATATCATTTATTCATGTCTTGATAAGAAGTCGACACCCTCTGATTTCTAGAAGAAGATCTCACTTCTGCTACAGCATGGGGCTTTCAGTTGTCAGTGAACTTTAACTCAGATAAAAATCAGTTTTTTCAGCTAATAGTTATTGGAATAATCTAGAAATTTTCCTTATATGAAATGATGATGTACTGGATGAGTCATCTACCCTCATCTGCGTCTCTTGTGCCACTAAAATTACACTAAATTTTTAGAAGCAAAACTAAAATTTTTTCTTGTCTTACTCGTTTCCCAATTAAGTCTCATCCGTTTACTGTGACTGTTTAAAGTGTTCCAAAAATTGTTATTTATCTAGTTTTTTTCCATGAACATCAGTTTTATGGATCCAAGCAGATATAGAAGCATTTTTGGTTTTTGGCCCCTTCAACTTTTTTTTTATAAGTCTTCTCTTTACCATAAATAAAGTTTTTGTGTCTTTACTCAACAATTTTTTGTCTTATACCTTATTCTCTGACAAACTTTGAACTTTTTTGTTTTATAGGTGACTTGATAACTGCTGTAACTGAAAGATTCTATTTTGTAATAGACAGCAAGACTATTTCTCTTTACATATCAAAAGCTTTTATTAATGTCTTGCATGTTGCTTTTCTACATAAGTTCACTTTATATGGTGTATTCAAATAAGTTTTTAAGACTATCAAATCATTTCTTTCTAATGGCAGATTAAAGTTATTCTCTAAAGTTATTAAAGTTATTCTACATTTTTTTTTTCATTATCTTCTGGAGTACTACAAGGTTCTTTCTTTAAACTTGTATTGTTTCTTATCAATATTATTATCTACATGATTTCCATGAAAGGTTTGTAGTATACGATAGTTCAAAAAGATGTAAAGTAGAAGACTTAGTGAGAGGGTTGCCATTCATTAATATAAATGAATGTCGACAGTACTGTGATAGCTAATTGCAGTAAATAGCTGAGTTTTGTTGGGTTTAAATTTACCAGCCACTGGGAGCCCAAATCTATTCCAGAAGTTTGATCAGATTCAAGATCAGCTGCCTGTTCTAAGGGGTCAAAAAGAGAAGACTTTTTGTCAAGGCAGGAGTATAAAGTTGAGTCATTAGCAATAAGAGCTACTTTATGTGTAAGGTTGTGGAGAAGATCATTAATGTAGATAATAAATAAAACAAGACCAAGGATAGAACCTTGAGGTACCCCAGAAGTTAACAAGCTAATGGAAAAGACAAGCATACCGAACTTTGTTGCAAGCCTCAGATATGTCAAGAGCAATAGCCTTAGCAGTAAGTTATTTGACTCAAGATAGGCTTTAAAAAATGTAATTATCAAAAACTCAAAGACTTTGCTGATAACATAAAGAAGGCTGATTGGATGATAATTGGAGGGATCAGAATGTTCATCAAAGTTTTTGAAAATTGGAACAACAAATACTATTTTCCAGCAGGCAGGAAAATGAGACTCAGTCATGAACTTATTAAATAGTTTAGAGAAAATTCAAGAAAGTTCTAGAGAACAATTTGACAGGAATGTTGTCTGGACCACAAGCCGTAAAAGAGATATGACTTTAGCAACGGAAGCTGGAGTGATTTGAATGTTTAACGAGTAATTGACCTATTTAATTGGAATGGAAGGTAGATAATGGCCTTAATATTTAAGAGTCAAATAAGAAGAAAAGTTATTTGCAATTAGTACTGTTTTATTGTTTGGAGAGTTAATAAAATCAGTCCCATGAATAAGAGATGGAATGTTAGACCTACCCTTGTTAATGATGCTGTTGAAGATTTTCTCAAAGTCTCTAGAGCTTAACTTCTGAGATAAGATACAAGATTTAGTGAGCTGAGCTTCTTGCAATAATAAATGGCTGTTTGTTTTCAAGAGAGTTTTTTTTTTTGAAATAATAGGGTGATTCCAAATGAATGATTTAAAGGGATCATTGCATAGTCAGAACCAACTAGGGGAGAGAAAAAAAAGAAACACAAGCTAGGATCAGAGACCAGACATAAATCAAGGAGTGAAGATAAATGATTAGGGTTGTCAGGAAATCAAGTCACAAATTTAATTATCTGAGTAAGTGATTGAGAAATGCAGAAATTATAGGCTTTAGTGCCAGCAGGGCCAGTGGTGTTAAAACCAAGCCATTTAGTGTGATGAGCATTAAAGTCACCAATAACAGCAATTTTAGCAGAGGGGTAAAGAGAGTGGGCATGATCAAATGGATCAGAATCTAAATCTAAAAGAGTGCATTCTTTGGAAGAAGGAGAATGAAAAAAAAAAAAACAAAGAGAAAGGTTATAGGGTGAAGAAGTGCTAAGCAGAAACATATAAAAAAATGATCAAAAGATGTGAACCTGATTACATGATAAATATGTAAATTGATGCATATGTATTACCTTAAGCCAAGCATGTGACTATGGGAGTCTTTGCAAATCAAAGGATACTACCATCAACACTAAGATCAGACGAAGGAAAAGCAAAGTTTAAATTAGTCTCACTAAGAGCAAGCTAGTCTGTTAAATTTTCAAAGAAGTAATATTCAACTGATTAAAGGTTGCTTCACATGGTAAAAGCTAGATGGTGGGAATGGTTTTTTATTTTAATATTTGCTAGCAACTTAACTTATCTCTTTGAACAGGCAGCTGATTATGAATCCGATCTCCCTTCTATAACAGCTAAAAGCATTTTAACAACTTGAGAATTTCGAACTCCGACAAAACTCAGTTATTTACTGCAAACAAATATCACAATATTGTTGATATTTATATATTGATGAATGAATGGCAACCCTCTCACTATATATATCGTTCTCACCATTTTCTCTCTCCCGATTCTATTCTCTACAAATTTATTAATTGTTTCTATACAGAATACTGTTGGCATTATTTTTTCTAATGATGACTCTAGATAAGGTCATGAAATGTATTGTAAATGTAGGTGAAATTGCTTTATCTTCCAAGCTTGACCAACTGGTTTATCTTTGTAAGGTTGTATCTCTTTTTTTTTTCTACTAATACTAAATGGCTGTTGCTCAAACAAGCTCTCATCTTTGGTTCTATCAATCAAAAATTATTTTTGCATGGCTCATCATTTTAGTTGCATCATTTTTCTGTATCTGTCCCTTCCTGCTCTAAAAAGGTTTATTTATGTAGTTTTTTTCCTTGCATATCAATGCTTTGGATTTCTCTCCCATCTTTATGTTTTCTTGACTCATACAACCTTCAACATTTCAAGTCTTTTGTCAACCATTTCAATGTTCTTCATTTTCTATTACTCCCAATTTAATAGCAGTTCCTCTCAGAATTAGCTTTTTTAAAACAAGTTCACTCCCAACAGAGTTGGGAGTGAATTAGTTTATAAAAGCTGATTCTTTCTTTAATACTCTTTGAAGTTGAAGTTTTTAATTTTTTAAACCCTAATTTTTTCAGTATACAAAATTTTAATAAAACTTTTGCAATTTGGCTTTCTATTAGTTAACTTTTAATTAGTAGTTAGTATTATTAAAACAACCAAATAAACCACCAATTGTTTACTTAATTTTCACTAATACTTTTTTTTCAGTTGTTTATTTGGAGTTAGAACATCCAAATAAGTTTAATTTGAGGTGACTATTGCTATTTTAGTGCAGAATTTTCATTTGCATTTGCGTTTTTTATTTACATTTTTTGATGGAATATGTGTCTTATAATTGAAGTTTCTCTAAAAAATTTTCCTCCAAATAATAAAAATAATATAAAGCTTTATTATTTTTTTTTTTTAATATTGCAAAAAAGTTATACATAATCTTGTTAAAATGAAATTTTATTATTTTTTTTTTGTATTATATTGATGTTATAAACTGTTATGTTGTGTTATAAACTGTTGTATTGTGTTATAAACTGTTGTATTGTGTTATAAACTGTTATGTTGTGTTATAAACTGTTGTATTGTGTTATAAACTGTTATGTTGTGTTATAAACTGTTGTATTGTGTTATAAACTGTTACGTTGTGTTATAAACTGTTGTATTGTGTTATAAACTGTTATGTTGTGTTATAAACTGTTGTATTGTGTTATAAACTGTTACGTTGTGTTATAAACTGTTGTATTGTGTTATAAACTGTTGTATTGTGTTATGTATGGCTAGTTTCCATAAAAAGACTTTTGAAAAAAATCTAACTTTTTAAAATGTGTGAATGTTTATTTTAAAGTTAGTATTATACATTTTATTTAGATTTAAATTATCGAAAAGAATTCACTCTAATGAAAGGTTTATATCTTGGAACTCTCAATGTTATGATGAAAGAGTTTACCGTGTCTTTTAATATAAAACCTAAAATTTATTCTAAAGGATTAAAAAATGTTCTTCATTTTACTTTGGATAACAATGTTGGAGAATATGGTGATAGAAATCCAGGTGTTTGGTTTCATGAAGATGGTTCTGGAAAGCTTGTTATTTTTGTTGCTGTAAATAATAATGGTAATTACTCCATTGAAACATCTCCTCTTAGTTTGCATAAATGGTCTTCTGTTATGATAAGTCAAATTATGTTTAATGGTAAATATTGGTTGACTGTTGATTTGAATGGGGTCAACATACATAGAGTTGAAAATTACAATGCAAAAAACTTTAAAAACATAAAAGTTTATGCATCTGACCCTTGGTATGATGCTCAAAATGGTTCTATTGCTGACCTTTTGATTATAAATGGAAAAGCTGGTTAGAATATCTATTTTATTCACAATATTTATCCTTATGTCAATGTAAAATTTATAGTTAATATTGTTACTAAATATAAGCCACAGCATTAAAAGCATAAAGTAAAACAATTTCTCAGTTTTTTTTTTTTTTTGAAAAAGAGAATGAGTAGTTGTTAGGGCTATAATTTTTTTTTTAATATATAGAGTACATTATTGGTAATACCCCTACTCCATTAGTAAAAGAAAAAATTATTGCTGAAATACCAAAGCTTTATAATGAATATCTAATTTCATTTGATGTGTACCCTAATAAGTTTGTTCGTGGCTGGCATAGTGTTATTCATTTTACTATTGGTTCTGATATTGCTAACTATGGGGATAGAGCTCCTGGTATTTGGTTTCATGAAAATGGTGATGGGATGCTCTATATTGCTGCACCAATAAATGGTTACGCTAATTATTATTTTAACACAAATCCAATCAAACAGAATTGGTGGTCTAATATTGAAGTTAGTCAGTTTTTAAGAAGCACAGATTATTTATACACAATTAAAATAAATGGAGATGTTGTCTTTTCTATGATTAATTATAATGCCCAAATCTTTGAAAATATGAAAGTTTATGCTTCAGATCCATGGACTGAAGTTCAAGATGGATTTATTAAAAACTTGTTTGTAATCAATGGAGTTTCAAGTAAGTTTTATATTATTTAATAGAGTATAAATTTAGATTTGTTCGGTATTTCAAAATTATGATTCATATTTGTTTTATTTTATTCCAAAAACTATTGCACTTATTTTAGGTGGCAACTTTTTTTTTTAAAGCTGTACAAATAATGATAATTTTTCCTAAAATGAACTAACTTTTTTTAAAAAAAAATCACAAAAAAATCACAACTCTTTTTGAAGTAAATAATTTTGATTTTTATTTTCTAATTTTAATTTTTTTACTTTTTGATATAATTATTTTTGATGTATACAAAGTAATTTTTGCATTTATTTTACTAAAACTTGCTTTTATCTTGATTAATTAATGAAAATAAGTTTATAATGAATATTTCTTATTAAGAAAATGTGTTTGTTATACAATTTTGATTTACTTACACAGTTATTTATTTGCACAAAAATTAATTGTAGAAAACTGTTATTTTTATTTGTTCTGAATGTTTATGGTTTTTTTAATTTATAAAATATCAATTTTATCATTGAATTTATATTTCTACAATACTATTTCTAGAAATATAAATTATCTACAATATTATTTTCAGCAATTAATAACATTTTTGGTAAAAAAAAGTCACTAAAAACTCTGTTCATTAAACAATATGGCACTTGAGTGAATATTTGAGTACAACTCAACAAAAACTTGTTATAGACTTGGTTAAACATAGAAATACTTATAGAAAATTTGCAGAACTTAAAAATATTCCATTTACAACAGTTAGAGCTATTGTAAATAAATACAAACAATATAAAACGTTTGAATTTCAAACTGGATGAGGGCAAAACCTGAAGACAACCTCACGAGATGATAGAATTTTAAGAAAGATTTTAAAAAATTGGTTTATATATATATATATATATATATATATATATATATATATATATATATATATATATATATATATATATATATATATATATATATATATATATATGTGTGTATATATATTATGACTTTTATTGCTTGGACTATTAAATAGTGTACTGAGTACTATCTATGCTTTGAGTCAAGTTCTTTAACAAATTTTAAAATGGCCAACGTACCAAATTTTACAATGGCCAAACTCAAAAAATCATTGTTATTACCAAGTTCTCTAAAAGCTATCATTCACTAATATTCGTGGTCTTTGAAGTGACTTTTCTTTTGTTGAGTCTTATTTCTTGCAAAGTTCATCAGACTTACTTGCTTTTTTTGAGACTAATTTGAGCTCAGCTGTCTCATTATGTGATCTTAGTGTTGATGGGTATCTTCTTTTAATTTTTAAAGACTCCAATAGTCACATGCTTGACCTTGGCATTCGCATTCGTAAGAATTCACCCATTTTTTTGGAAACTAGATTTGAATCCACAGACTATTCTTTTATGTACTTTTGTTTAGCACCACTTCACTCTATTGCTTTTTTTATTGTTCTATATTGCTCTCCTTCATCTCAATATTGCACTCTTTTTGATGTTATTACTAATCAAATTACTATAATGCTCATCACACTGAATGGCTTCACTGAGTGACTCTGCAGCCGTTAAGGCCCACAAATTTTGCTTTTCTTATTCTCTTTTTTTTTTATTTATTATTATAATTCACCTCCTCAAGGCCGAGGAGGCCACTACAGACGAGGAGGCTACTTATTTGTGGCTATAACCCTCTCTCAACTCTATAACTCTGAAACACGAACCTTGACGAACTAGGCCGCTGCGCGGAGAAACGAGTTGAGCGCAGTACTACCAGGGACGTAGTGGGGATCGAACTCGAAACCACTCGTTTTATAAAGCGCTCTACCACTACACCGCTACCGCATTTTGACTTACTCAATTAGTCTAATTTCCAAATGGTTTTCCAGTCAATCCGAATCATTTTCCTTCTCTACTCCACTTATGTCTTGTTTCTAATCCTAGTCACTGCTCAATTTTCCACATTTATCCTTAGGTGCTGCTGATCATGTTTTGATCTCCCTGAAACTCTTATTTATCTTCATCATCAGAATCCCCTATTATAGTACCTCTTACAACCACCTTAAACTCTTTCCGTGATTTTCTTTGTGATGACCTTTGGGTATAATTCTTTCATCTTCCTGCTGACAAATGTGCTTCTTACACAACTTCTTGGATTCAAGCTGGCTTGGAATCTTTTATTCCCTATTGACAATTCCAAGTTAAGTCTTCTCAATGGTTTTCATCACATTGTGCTGCTGCAATTTCTAATCAAAATCATTACCTCCATTTCTATTTGCTAAATAATTCTCCAGAAAACAGACGTTTACTATTGCTAGAAACCATTGTAAAAAGGTTTGCATAACACCAAAATTCTTTATTCTTAGGTCATGAAATATTTTATTTTATCTCAAAAATTAGGCTCTTGTGACTTCAGGAGAATCTTTAACAGTATTAATAATAAAGGCAATTCTGTTATTCCACCTCATTTGTATAGTCTAGATTTTGACAAGTGCTTATCAATATCATCTCTTGATTCCACTAGTTAAGTTTTATCCAACTTAATAAATGATATAGCCAACAAATAGATTGATCCATTGCCTGACATTCGTATCACTCCAGCTTCTGTATCTAAAGTGATTTTTCGCTAAGATTCTTCTACAGCTTGTGGTCTGGAAAACATACCTGTTATAGTGTTGCAGAAGTGTTCTAACAAGTGCTTATTAGAGTCTTGTGTTAAAAAAAGAAAAAAGATAATAATAATACTATTTTTATTGTTTTATTATACACTATAATAATAAAACTATTATTAATTTCATTGTTACTATCATTATTTTTATTTTGATTGATATTTTTTTTATCTTATTATAAATGTATCTTTGTTTCACCTGTCTAACTGATTTTTTTTTTTTTGCAATAATGAAGATTCAATTTTGGTAATATATTGATATTGATAGAGTAAACTGGGGTAAGGCTATAAAGAATATTTAGCTTTAAATTCAATTCTTTTTTTTAATGATTTTTTTTTTGTTTTGTTTTCTAGAGAATTTTTTACATCATACAAATATATAAATTTGAAAATTTAAAAAAAAAAGTTTTTTTTTCGAAAAGAAAAAAAAAATTTACTTTTACCCTTATAATTGGGGAAAAGTAAACTAGTTAAATTTTAATAATAATTTTAATAATAATAAGAGAATTAAGCTAAATTAATTAAAAGTAAAATGACAAATAATCTTATTAACTATTCACAAGATCAAAACTTTTTTTTGTACTCAATTTTTTCACATAGTCTGAAAGGTGTCACTTTTCTTAACTCAAATCTGTTAAAATTAAAACGATTGAATCGGAGTTTTAATTTTAACAGATTGAATCGGAGAGAAAAAAAAATTATTTTCCTTTTTGTGAATTTTTTCGCAAAAAAACAACATCAAAAAATAAACCAAATTTACACAGTATTTACAAAGATTTATCTTCAGGTTTAAACACAAGAGTTATGAGAGGAACCAGATGCGAACGTTTTATTTGTAAAAAAGGTCGCAAAACTATTAACAATGAAGATAATAATATAGACTCACATAGAGCCAAGTGTCTCACAAATTATTCAAGAAATAAAAATAAATTTGAAAAAAGACCACCAGAAAGTCTGGCCAACCTGTATATACTGCTTCAAAGAAACAAGAAAAGGTCTGTGTCATCTATGCAATAAAACACAGAGACAAATAATTTCATATTTATAATAGTTTATAAAGTAAATTAGTTTAATGTTACACTAGTTTAATTTAAATAAATTTTATTTAAATTTATTTTAAATAAATTTAAATAAAATTTTAATTTATTTTAATTGAAAACTAAAATATTGTCATATATATTGTAAGATGCGGTAGTGGTGTAGTGGTAGAGCGCTCGCTTCATAAACGAGTGGTTCCGAGTTTGATCCCCACCACGTCCCTGGTAGTACCGCACTCAACTTGTTTCTCCGCGCAGCGGCCTTGCTCGTCAAGGTTCGTGTTTCGTAGTTATAGAGTTGAGAGAGGGTTATAACCACAAATAAGTAGCCTCCTTGTCTGTAGTGGCCTTCTCGGCCTTGAGGTGGTGAATTAAAATTAAAAAAAAAAAAAAAAAGATTTTTTTAGAAAGAGTTGTATCTTCTACTCTAATACATATGGCTAGTAAAAGTGACAATAAAATCAAGCTAAAAACTTATGGAAGAAAAAAATGTTTGGTTTATTTTACCAATATTTAAATTAAGAAACTACACTTTAGTTTAGAGAAATTGAAAATGTTGCAAAATAAGGCAAGTAAGGCAAGAATTTAATATACAACTTTTATTTTATAATTATAAACCTATAAAATATATTAAAACTTATATCAAATCAAGTTATTCAAAAATTATTTTTAGCGACAAAAAAATGTTAGAGATTGCTAAGTTTCTTAGGTACGAGATAAAAAAGATAAAAGTTCTGTTAAAAGCAACTACAGAGCTGCAAGAGTTACAGAAAACTCATTACTAGTTCCCTTATTCAGTTCTGAATTTATAAATGTTTTCACAAAAGATAAAGTGGGAAATTCACATGAGGTAGTCTAATGTTTTTATTAGTCTTATTAATTGATTATTAATTTTATTGATTTAATCAAACAATGATTTCTTTAGCATATTGAACAAGAGGTTCCTGAGTTAGTTTGCAATGATGTAGAGAAGCTGATATCTATGTGAATAATGAACCACAGGAAACTACTACCAAATGAGATTGATATTAAAGTTGGAATAGATGGTAGACAAGGCTTTTTAAAGTGTACTGCCTCTATAACATATAAGCCTGATAAAAGAGATCAGGAAACTCCTCAAAAGAGAACAAAATATTCAGACGGTTTTGAAAAAAAAGAGTTTAAGGATTCCAGTGTTTTTAAAACCCTTATTCTAGCAATTAAACCTCACATGGATGAAAGTTATGTAAACTTAAGAATGCTTATTGGAAAACTGAATATAGAATCTTTAGACTACTTATTGTCAGAAGAGTTGGCATTTATCATATCAAGGATAACACAGACTTGAAAGAAATGCTTCAAGTTTATTTTTTTAAAAAGTTGATATTTAAAAAAAAAAATTTATGCACATGGTCTTGGTATTCATGGAGCCAAATATATCAAGGCCCTAATATCTTTCAAAAAAGTTAGAAAAGGATGTTTTGGGAAACCATTGTGTAAAAATTATAAAGACAATATCAAAAACTTTTTAGATGACTAGAGAAACTTAGGAGCCAGTGTAACAGGTAAAGTTCATATTGTTGAGCAACATGTTGCAGAGTTTATTGACATGAAAGGGGGGACATTTGGTGAGTGTTTTTTTACAGGAAATATCTATCAGATAATATTGATTATTTAGGTAAATTTTTGGGAATTATTAGGACTTTATTTTATATCTAAACAAAATTAAATTTTTTTAAATTAATTTATATTATATAAAAAATTATTTAGGCCTTGGTTATTGGACAGAACAGGCTTTGGAAGCAGTGCACCAGGATTTCAAGCAATTTTGGAACCTAAGAAAAATTGGGCAGTATCATCCCAATTATTCGAAAACATTAAAAAATGCTGTTGCAGCATACAATATTGTGCACTTTTCAAATATATAGCAGAGTTATTTATGCAAATTATTCAATAAGTGCTTAATAAGTCTTTTTGTGTTGTGGATATCGAAGCTTTTTGAAGTGAGTCAACTTAATAAAAAAAGAAATAAGATGTATTGTTAATTTAAAATAGTTCATAGCTCTGCATATTTTATATAATATACAAAATATTGTTGTATATCTGTAATGTTATGCATAAATATGCACTAATTACATAATTTTTATTTATTTTTTCACATTTCACATTTTTTTATATATATTGTATAATATATATACATTATATACAATACTGTTATATAGTTACTTGCTTTAATCCTAAATTAATGTTTTTTATTATTGATATTTAAATGTTTCTATTATATCTAAACATTTATGAAGTAGTAAAGACAACATTGACTTTTCCCACCAGGGACAACATAGACAGTAATTCACGTTATTTTTTGCACATTTTACTTCAAAAATTATAAGAACGAAAATATCTTTTTTTTTTAAAAAAAACCCTGTTCAATCATTTTAGTTTTAACAAATTTGATTCGAGAAAAGTAACACCTTTCAGACCTACTATGTGAAAAAAATGAGTACAAACAAAAATTTTGATCATGCTCAGGCCCATTGTGTATTACTAATAAATTATAAAAGTAAAAAGTTATTCAATTTATGTCAAGTTAACAGTTAAGTCTACAAAAAACTATTTTAATCAAATATCCAAAAAAAAAAAAAAAAAAAATTATTTATTATTTAAATAAATATAAGTTTTTTCATGGTTAGAAGCAGGTCAGCAGCATTTTTTCATGCAATTGAGAACCATCCAATTTTGTATTTTTTGGGTAAACATGATCAACAAAGCTAAGACTTGCAACTCAAGGCTTTACATAGGTACCACATGTTGTTTTGGGTTGAAAATGCTTCTTGCCTAATTCTGCAACACTTTTTACACCTCTTGATGTCTTGTCTCAGTTTTTTTTTAATGTTGCACTTGCTGAGTTTAATCTGAAGCTTCGCTGAAGTCAATCTTGGGTTTTTTTAATTACTTTGACTTTTTGGTTTTACCATATTGCTTTAGTTTCTCGAGCACCACAGATTTACTCGACACTAGCCTTCAACTCTTTGAAAGTTGATTTTTTAAATTGCCACTAGTGTTGTTGTTAAATTTTGAAGTTGGCAAATCATTGGAGTTTGATGCTGACTGCTGTTAGATGATGATGTAGGCTTCATCGTCCTGATGGGATAAGGACGATGAAGAAGGCTTGGATGAAGATAATAAAGCAGATTAAGATCATTACTTAAAATGTTTGAGCGATTTGTAATTTTGATTGATCAACTTTGCTAATACCTTACTAAAACCAAATTTTACTATAGTGCCTTATTCATCAGAAAAAGCTCTAGCTCTGATACTTGATTGTGGACTATCTAAGGATTCATATCGGCAAATTTGTTTGGCCACAATTGAAGCAGGCTATAAACACTATCCTCCTTACAATGCTGTTCAAGATGCAAAAGAACTTTTTTTGCCAAACAATAGAGACAGTATAAGTGTAACTGATTACTCAGCATCTGTTGATCTACAAAATTTGTTAGATCTTACTGCTGCTTGACTAGTTAGTCTGCAAAAAGACTGGTTCAGCAGCCTAAAATAAATATTTTTGCTCTTCAACATAAAACTGGTTATGATGGATCAACAAGTCAATCAATTTACATGCAGTTATTGAATGATCATAACCCAAGAAATCTTCAACAAAAAGGGAGTTTATTTCTTACTCATATTGATCCTTTAGAATTGATTGGATTTGATGGGTCACAAATAAATATTTTTTGGCTTAATCCAAAACCATCATCCACTACGTACTGTCGGCCTGTGCGGTTTAGTTTTAAATAGGAAACAGTCTAAATTATAAAGGAAGTAGATAGGTAAAGCAATCTAGATATTTATAATTTCAATTGTAGCTATATGTCATTTAACCAACTGTCTATATTAATAGGTACATTAATGAGTGTCAATAAAGTTTGCAACCTATATGTTTAATGGATAATATCGCGATTAATCATGTAATTGAATTAACTATGGTGGATGGAAAGGTTGCCGCTGCTTTGTCTGATGTAACTAGTTCAAGTCAATGTTGTTCAGTGTGTGGTGCCATGCCTAATCAAATGAATGACATTCACCTTTTTACTAAGACACTACCTGGTGATAGTTTAAAGTATGGTCTATCAACACTACATGCTTGGATACGTTGCATGGAATGTGTCCTACACAAATCATACAAACTGCTTATAGGAAATATCAAGCTAGACATGTAGGGGACAAGAATTCTGTTAAATTAAAAAATAAAACAATACAAGAACAAATAAAAAAACAACTTAGACTTGTTATCGATGAACTTAAGTTGGGTGGTTTAGGTACATCAAATGATGGAAATTTTTTTTTTTTTATTTTTATTTTTTATTTTTTAATCGCCTCCTCAAGGCCAAGAAGTCCACTGATGAGAAGGCTACTTAATAGTGGTTATAACCCTCTCTCAACTCTATAACTCCGAAACACGAACCTTGACAAACAAGGCCTCTGCGCAGAGAAACAAGTTAAACGCGGTACTACCAGAGATATGGTGGGGATCGAACTCGGAGCCTCTTGTTTATAAAGCAAGCGTTTTACCACTAAACCACTACCAAATACTGCTATGAAGTTTTTGAAAATGTTCAAATAGTATGTAGCATTACTGGATTTGATTTATGCTTAATGAAAATGATTTATGTAGTGTTACAAACATTATCCTCAGGATTTCAAATGAATCCAGATGCTTTGTAACATTTGTACAACGATGTTGTACAAAAGTTGCAAACAGAATTGTAGAACTGTATTCATGGTATTATATGCCACAAAGTTTAGATTGCATTTTACTACATGGACATGAATTTGTATGTTAATTTTCATTTCCTATTGGAATGCTTTCTGAAGAACCTCAAGAATCACCTTAAAATAAAAATTATAAGAATGTTTGAGAGCATTTTTCATGCAAATATTCACGAAAAAAATTATCAATAATATTTTAAGAACTTTGTTTCTCAAATCCACTTATTAGTAGTTATAGAAAAATAAGTTTGAACAAATAGAAACCATTTGATCCAGAACTTTTAAAATAACCTTTAATTCCTATTACAGTAGCAACATAATCAATATAACCCTCTTAAATACTTAAATTATTTTTTATATATAACTAAAATTGGTTTTTGTGAAAAAAAAAACTGTTTTCAACCTGAACTGTTGCTAGGCATTTCAGGTGTCCCTGTTAACAAATTAAAAAAATCGAATAGTGTCACTACATTTGAGTTAAAAAAAATACTTAATCTGGTAATTATGAGTAATTATGAGTCCCACTCTTCTAAACTACATTAAACAATAAAAGAGTGGGAGTTGATTTGTCAATAAACCATGTCTTATAGATAAAAAGGGTTTTAAATTTGTTGAATATGATGTGATAAGATTTCAATAAGCACACACACTCACACACAAACACACACACACACACTTACACACGAGAGAGATTGAAAAAGAGAGTTATTTAAATTCTGATAGTCGTTTTATTGGTTTACTTTTAAATTGATATTATATTTTATATTGATAATTTATTAGTATATTTTATATTGATATTTTGAAATGAGATTTTTTTGTTGTTAGATAGCAGCCTCCAACCTCAAGTTATTCTTCCTGCAGGTAATGTAAACTGTATATTTTATAACAACTTTTTTATTTAAGCTTGTAGAATTTTTTTTTCTAATTATATTATTTTAGGTTGCATTAGTTTGTTTATATATATATATATATATATATATATATTATATATATATATATATATATATATATATATATATATATATATATATATATATATATATATATATATATATATGTATGTATATATATATATATATATATATATATATATATATATATATATATATATATATATATATATATATATATATATATATATATATATATATATATATGTATACATATTGGTGTTTTGATTATTTGATAATAATCACCTCTTTTTTGATTTGAGATTGATCAATATAAAGTGAAATAATCACAAAATAGATCAATAAATAAATAAAAGGTTAGATTAAAAAAAACAATTTTTTTACCATACTTAAAGTACCGTAAAAAAGTAATGATATTTTATTATTATATTTTATATTGATATTTAATGACTTCTTTTAAATTGAGATACGCTTATCACGTTAAATGTTTTAACATCCTAAATTACAAAAATGATACTGAGCTCTCAAAGCATGTATGGAAAATAAAAGCTAGTTCCTATAATTAAGTGGAAAATTCTCAGGCGATGTCAATCATATAATCCAACATCCAAATCTTGTAAATTATGTCTCACCGAAAAATATGATATCCTAAATTACAAAAATACGAATCTACTAAACAAAAGGAGTGAGATTGTTTCTAAGTGCAGACATAAAAACAGATTTCTCCTTTCTCAATTTGACACTGGCGATTAGAAAAGATGTTTTTTTTTATATTATTATTATTGTTATTATTATTATTATTATTATTACTATTATTGCTATTATTATTATTATTATTTGACGTCGGAACTCATTCCATTGTTTTTTTTTAATTTTGTAACGGTTTTTTAATTGTATTTTTAAACAGTTTTTTTTTTATTTAAATATATGGCTGATGAGTGCCGAAAATGTATACATGTATATAATACATATAAATATATATATATATATATATATATATATATATATATATATATATATATATATATACATACACATATATATATATATACATACACATATATATATATATATATATATATATATATATATATTTATATATATACATATATATATATACTTAATATATATATGTATATATATAATATATGTATGTATATATATATATTATTTCATATATATGTGTGTGTATATATATATATATATATATATATTTATATATATATATATATATATATATATATATATATATATATATATATATACACATATATATATTTATTTTTATTTACATATAGAAAAAACAACTTTTCATGGGACTAATAGTTTCATGCCTATACGGCAATCATCAGCCATGTACTATATCAAAAACAAACAAACCGTTAATAAAATTAAAAAATACAGTGGAGCGACATCTGACGTTTCTATAGAGATAAAAAAAGAAAACGTCAAAGAAAATCTTATATAAATCAGCTAATCGTTAGTATCTTTAGTATAATGGCCAGTATCTTATATAAATCAGTATCGCCAGTAATTTTATTAACAGTTTGTTTGTTTTTGATATAGTACATGGCTGATGATTTCCGTATAGGCATGAAACTATTAGTCCCATGAAAAGTTGTTTTTTCTTTATGTAAATAAAAATAAATGTATATATATATATATATATATATATATATATATATATATATATATATATATATATATATATATATATATATATATATATATATACTGCTCTAGTTAGAAAGTTGTTTACTTTCTTTATTATTGAGCACTCTTAACCGAAATAGAGTTTTGTATTATTATTGTAATACAAATTTAACATCAATCGATATATATATATATATATATATATATATATATATATATATATATATATATATATATATATATATATATATATATATATGTATATATATATATATATATATATATATATATTTATATATATATACATAATATATAAATATATACACAATATATATATATATATATATATGTATATATATATAATTTATGTATGTATATATATATACTTTCATATATATGTGTTTATATATATATATATATATATATATACATATATATATAAATATATATATATATATGTATATATATATATATATATATATATATATATATATATATATATATATATATATATATATATATATATATATATATATATATATATATATACAAATAGTATTGCGTACTAAGGTAAGCAATCTGACGTCATACTGAAATAGCCTGCTGCTGGGAGATTCAGTACATACATGGACTGACAAATAACCTGACTCGCAGTGGAGTGCTGCTACATCGACTGAGGGTTTAGGATATGGGGCAGCAATCGTTTTATTCTTTATTCTTCATTTTTTTTCTTTTTTTAAAAAAACCGTATGGGATAAGGTAAGCAAAAAAAGTGAGCAAATGCTTATAAAACACACTTTAGTAAGTGTATATATGTATATATGTATATATATATATATATATATATATATATATATATATATATATATATATATATATATATATATATATTTTATATGTATGTATGCATATATATTTATATAAGTATATATACATATATATACACAAGTTTTTATTCTTTATTTATGTTTAGTTTTTATTTATGTTTTGTTGCAAAAAATCTTTTTATTCGATATTTAAAACATTTGTTTTTCTTTTAATAGGTAGTGGAACTCAACCAGTTGTTATTCTTCCTAAAGGTATTTCAAACATTATTTTACACAATTTTACACAATTGTTTTTTATTAATTGTATTAGATTTTTTTTTTTTTTTTTTTTGTAAATTGATTTTTATGAAATATTAAAGTCATATTTATAATCATCCTGCTTAAAAAAAGAAAACAAAATGAATAGTTTGGTAAATGATTATGCTTTAAAATGGTAAACACAATTCAAAACTAAGAAACTCTGAAAAAAATACTGAATTAAAGAAAAAACTGAATATTATAAAATAGTTAAAATCATTTTTTAGATAATTTATATTAAAATCTTATAAATTTATATTTATATAATAATAAATTTAATAGTTTATTATAAATTTAATAATTTTAATAGTTTATAATAAATATAAACAAAATAAAATTAATGAAAGTTTCATTCTTACTTTTGTTACTCTGATTTATCATGTAATAATTTTATTAGTAGTTTTTTTTTTCATAATTTTATTAGTAGTTTTTTTTTCATAATTTTATTAGTAGTTTTTTTTTTCATAATTTTATTAGTAGTTTTTTTTTTCATAATTTTATTAGTAGTTTTTTTTTTCATAATTTTATTAGTAGTTTTTTTTTCATAATTTTATTAGTAGTTTTTTTTTTCATAATTTTATTAGTAGTTTTTTTTTTCATAATTTTATTAGTAGTTTTTTTTTTCATAATTTTATTAGTAGTTTTTTTTTTCATAATTTTATTAGTAGTTTTTTTTTCATAATTTTATTAGTAGTTTTTTTTTTCATAATTTTATTAGTAGTTTTTTTTTTCATAATTTTATTAGTAGTTTTTTTTTTCATAATTTTATTAGTAGTTTTTTTTTTCATAAATTTATTAGTAGTTTTTTTTTCATAATTTTATTAGTAGTTTTTTTTTTCATAATTTTATTAGCAGTTTTTTTTTTCATAATTTTATTAGTAGTTTTTTTTTCATAATTTTATTAGTAGTTTTTTTTTTCATAATTTTATTAGCAGTTTTTTTTTTCATAATTTTATTAGTAGTTTTTTTTTTCATAATTTTATTAGTAGTTTTTTTTTTCATAATTTTATTAGTAGTTTTTTTTTTCATAATTTTATTAGTAGTTTTTTTTTTCATAATTTTATTAGTAGTTTTTTTTTTCATAATTTTATTAGTAGTTTTTTTTTTCATAATTTTATTAGTAGTTTTTTTTTTCATAATTTTATTAGTAGTTTTTTTTTTCATAATTTTATTAGTAGTTTTTTTTTTCATAATTTTATTAGTAGTTTTTTTTTTCATAATTTTATTAGTAGTTTTTTTTTTCATAATTTTATTGGTAGTTTTTTTTTTTCATAATTTTATTAGTAGTTTTTTTTTTCATTATTTTATTAGTAGTTTTTTTTTTTCATAATTTTATTAGTAGTTTTTTTTTTCATAATTTTATTAGTAGTTTTTTTTTTCATAATTTTATTAGTAGTTTTTTTTTTCATAATTTTATTAGTAGTTTTTTTTTTCATAATTTTATTAGTAGTTTTTTTTTTCATAATTTTATTAGTAGTTTTTTTTTTCATAATTTTATTAGTAGTTTTTTTTTTCATAATTTTATTAGTAGTTTTTTTTTTCATAATTTTATTAGTAGTTTTTTTTTTCATAATTTTATTAGTAGTTTTTTTTTTCATAATTTTATTAGTAGTTTTTTTTTTCATAATTTTATTAGTAGTTTTTTTTTTCATAATTTTATTAGTAGTTTTTTTTTTCATAATTTTATTAGTAGTTTTTTTTTTCATAATTTTATTAGTAGTTTTTTTTTTCATAATTTTATTAGTAGTTTTTTTTTTCATAAATTTATTAGTAGTTTTTTTTTCATAATTTTATTAGTAGTTTTTTTTTTCATAATTTTATTAGCAGTTTTTTTTTTCATAATTTTATTAGTAGTTTTTTTTTTCATAATTTTATTAGTAGTTTTTTTTTTCATAATTTTATTGGTAGTTTTTTTTTTTCATAATTTTATTAGTAGTTTTTTTAAAAGTGCATTTTGGTTTTATTAATAAAATTGGCAGGAATGTCAATTTTACCCCAATAACTGGTAGCTATTTTACTATGAAATACAAAATATAGTTATGTTTCAATCAAAATACATGGTGTTAAGCATTGATTGAAAAGAAATATGAAAACTAAAGCATGTTAAATTTAGGAAGAATAAAGGTTTTTATAAATTTATATGGTCAGTAAATAGATGTCCTGATTGGGACATTTTTAAAGTTACAGCTGATGACGTTTTTTTGTTTTAAAAAGACATCATGGACTATCAAAGCAAAGCTATACTGGAACAGTTGCTGCATTTAAAGTGAAATTTGAATTAATTTTCTATACTTCTTTATCTTCTTTTCAGTTACTTTCAAGTTTATTGTTGGCCAAAATTGAATTACTCATTAATGTTATGTAAGTTTAGCAACGTTTAGACAAATAGTAAAAACAGTTTTTAAAAAACAGTTTTTAATCACAAACCTTTATATCTTTAAACAGATTGTGAACTAAAGCTAGTTAATCTCCTTTAAATAATAATTTTTTGTAGTTTATAGGGCTATTTTACAATTTTTTTATGGTGATTATTTTTAGAACCAATCTGTACATCAGAACATTTATTTAAAATGTTACTTTTGTTTATCAAATATCCATTAATAATGTTAACCCTCATACTGAAACTTTAACATTCAACTTTAACAGAATAAAATATACTATTTTCAGTATTACCCCATATAGCATCACAGCACAAATTTACCCCATATAGCATCACAGAACAAAAAAAATTTTTAATTTTTATGTTCATTTGATCTATTAAGAAACAACAATTGCATATTGAATTGACAAAAACAGTAAATAATCTTTCAAAGAAATCTTAAACATCTAGCCCCAAAATGTAGTTTGCCATCATATTTTTGTTATACTTGTTATACTATGTTTTCAATAGCAACATTTAAAGTCAAATATATCTTGATGAAAGTACTTGTCTTGTTTTCCTTGAATTTATCAAGATGAGACTCAAAGATATTGACTTTGATTAAAGTTCTGTTTTTGAGGGAAGCCATTACCAACTGTAACAAAATTGATCCAAGCCACACTCATTGTCCGTTCTTCATTTATAGTGCATATAACTAATCTTCAAGAGTTCTTTTACAATAATCACATGTAAAATGCAGTGCCTAAGACTTGCCTGATCCCCATCAGGCATGCCAAAGAATTCCTTGTTGCCTCACACCTTTTATGTTTTAAAATGCTAACAACTTCTTTATGTCATTCAAATTTAATATATGCTCTTAAAATAAGATCTTTTAATTCTTTATTTACCAATTACATGAGTTAAAGTGTAGGTTCCACTAACTTGGGCTTTTATACTACTTTCGAACAAAGGACTTTCTAGAAGTTTTTAAAATTCTAGAATATTTTAAAAACTTCTTAGGCCTCCTGGACATTTTTAGCAGTTTAGGAATGTTCCAGAAGAATGCTCAGTAATCAATACAAATCAAGAACTTTCTTGAATACACATAAATTTAAAATATCATTATTCTAGTCACAGAAGCAAAGTTTTTGAACAACAGTTATTTTCTATTTGTTATTAGCAAAGCGAGTTTAAAAAAGACAGAAAATAAAAAATTAGTTAAAATATTGCTTTTATAGGTTTTTTTAATTCAACTTAATTATAATTTTTTTTTTTTTTAACTGAAAAATATATTAAAAGTAAAATATAATTTAGTTATTAATAGCTCAAATTATATTTTTTTGAATAAAGTTCTTTTTGCAAACCCAAGGGGTTACTTAGGTAAAGTTACTCCATAAATTTTTAAATATTAATTTATGATTGTCAAGCGTTTTTAATGTATTTTCAAGTAATTCGGAGTAAAGTTTTTTAAAAGTCATAAGTTCAAGCGTTCATGAACTGGTTTTGTTACCTGGTTTCTACTGATGTAATTGACACATATTCACAAATACACACTAAAGGGCTCAAGAAGTGCAAAAAAAAAAAAAAAAAAAGTTTTACAATCTGTAATCATCAGCAATTTCATAAAAAAATATTTGAAACTGTATCTAAGTGAAGACATAAACAAAAAGCACATTGTTTAAAAAAAATTAAACAAAGTAAAATATCTATATAATAAAATGCACTATTTTTAAAGACCTAATAATATATAATTTAATTACTTTCAAAATTATTTTTTCATTAGCAAAAGATAAAATTGAAGAATCTCTGAAAAAAAATTGAAACTTTTAACAATCTTCACATTGTAGAAGTAAAAAGCAGTAAGTAGTAACAAAAGTGACAAAGTCTATTTTAAAATAAAATATAAGAAAGTTTTTTTAAAATAAAATATAAGAAAGTTTTTTAAATCAATAAGATTCAAAGTTTTTAAGATTTACTGAACCTTGAATTTTCTGGTTCAATTTTTTCTGGTTTAAAAATTGGAAGCTTTGTAAGCCAATAAAACTTTATATAAAATCTCTTTATTTGTTAATATTTTAATGATTTTGTTGGTGTTAATATTTGAAATATGTGTTTTTATTGAAGTTGTGTTGGTCTTTTTGTCATTGTTAAAAATTGAAATTTTTGTTGTTAAAAATTAAAATTGTCAGTTGTTTTTAATTGAATGTTTGTTGATTATACAAAGTTGTACAAATGTTATAAAATGTTAATTCTAAAATGTAAAATTTTAATTTATTTGGGGAGGGTGTTTTAGGTTTAAGTTAATTAATTGGTTAATTCTTATTTTTAATTTAATTATTATGTTTATTTTTTTAGAAACTAATTGTTGTTTAGATTATATTTACAACAGAAAAGAGTTTACTTTGGTTAAAGGTTTTTTTCTTGGTACCCTTAATGTTATGATGAAAAAGTACACTGTTTCTTTTAATATTAATCCAACAGAGTACACTAAAGGTTTAAAAAGTGTTCTTCATTTAACATTAAATAATGATATTGGGGCATATGGTGACAGAAATCCAGGTGTTTGGTTTCATGAAGATGGCTCTGGAAAACTTATTATTGCTGCTGCAGTAAATAGTAATGTTAATTACTACATTGAAACACCTCCTCTGCCACTGAATCAATGGTCCACTATTAAAATATGTCAGAGTTTTTCAGATGGTAAGTATTGGTTTTCTGTCTATCTGAATGGAGTCAATATTCATAAGACTGAAAATACAGACGCTCGAGATTTTAGAAACCTGAAAGTATTTGCTTCTGATATTTGGTATGATTCTCAAAATGGTTCTATTAATGACCTTCTTATCATTAATGGAAAAGCTGGTTAGAATTATTTTTTTATAAGTATTAATTTTTAAGATTTTATTTATCAACATATCTAATTGTTTTTTTGTTTTATTTGTTCTAGACTTTATCAATATAAAAAATTAAATATGTTTTTACAATTTTGAATATGGTATCAGCATTGTTATCATATTTTTTTTATTTTTATGTTTGTTCAACTTTATATTTTCTATTTTAGAGGACCTTACTGGTAGCTTTATTACTTCATTAGTGAAAGGAAAGATCATTGCTGAAATACCAAAGCTTGATAAAGAATATTTAATTGCATTTGATCTTAATCCATATAGTTTTGATGTTGATTGGCATAGTGTTGTTCATTTCACTGTTGGTTCTAATAATGCTAGGAATGGGGATAGAATTCCTGGTATCTGGTTTCATGAAAATGGTGATGGAACACTTTTAATTGTTTCTTCAATCAATGGTAATCGAAATTATGGTGTCACAACAAATCCATTTCAATTAAATCTGTGGTCAAACATTGAAGTTACTCAAATTTTGAGAGGAACAGCTCACATATACACAATCAGAATAAATGGGAATGTTTTTTATTCTGAAGTTAACAATCAAGCTCAAAGTTTTGATAATGTCAAAGTATATGCTTCTGACCCATGGCATGAAGTTCAAAATGGCTCAATAAAAAACTTCTTTATTGTAAACGGACTTTTGAGTATGCTTTTTTTTTACATGATATTTATGATTTTATATTATATTTTTTTGAGTATTTTTTTTTTATGTACTTTTGAGTATGCTTTTTTATGATCTTCTTTAATTAATATATAATAAAATTTGTTTTATTAGACATAAACAGGCTTGATTATTCTTGGTGCTTCTAATCTTTTTTAAAAAATATGTCATTTTAAAGTGGTTATTGCTATTGAAGTATGCTGAATTTTCTTAAATTTACTTGTTTATTTAGCTTATTAATGTTGTCACTAGCGTTTGATGACTAAATTTGGATTGCAAATTTTAAATATGTGTGTATTTGTTAAATTTGTCCAAGAATTATTTCTCTGATCATCATGCAAATAGTTTAGAGTTTACATCTAATTGAGATTTCAATTAAATTGACTAACTGGTATGTTCTATCAGATGATTAAATTCAACTGAGCCTAAAATGGAAGTATATGTTGATTTTTTTTCCCTTACAACCAACCTGTATAACTTTTTATAATGGTTTTAGTCTGTTTAACAGGATTGTCAAAATTTTTTTGTAATAACAACCAAGGGGCTAGTGTTTCTATGGTTGCCAATATTTTTCAATCAACTGTTTAAAGCTTTTTATAATTGGCTAAGTTGTCTGGTAGGTTGTTTATGTGTATACCAAGTACAGGGGATCTAAAAATCACCCTTGAGGTACTCTACTAGTGACATTATTATTCCAATTTATGATGTTCAATTGTAATTTATTGTAGAGGCCCTGTAGACCATGAAGTATTTCCTGGTTTACAGGAGCATCTTTTCTATGCTAAAGGCTTTTAGTTTGTGCTTGAATCACTTGTTCAGCATTTTCCAAATCCGTTGGCAAAGGTCGATAGATTGCTTTTTACCAAAAGTGTTAAAATGTTGCAGATTTCTGGCAAGTTCATTTACGCATTCTATTTACAAAGCTTAATTGAGTTTTACTGATTTAACTGTTGGTGTTGTTGAGTATTGACCTTATTAGTGATTATTTTGTTCTATTTTTAAAATTTTTCCAATTTGAGTTTATATTGATGTTTTTTTGCTAGTTTATAGTTACTACAGTTTATCTTGTATCCATTTTTGAACAAGTTATTTGTTAAAATATTGGTATTTATATTTGGAAGGGAAAGCGTTTGATTAACATATCAAAGCTTTATTAAGATATACATTCTCTAATTTTCAGGTTAATGGATTTGGTAACCAAAATAAAAGCTATTTATATAAATTGATTTAGTTTTAAATCTATTGAAAAACAGATATAGCACATATTGGAAACATTATTTTAGTTTTAAATTTCACTTTAAGTTTTTTTTTAAGATAGCAGCTTGCAACCTGTTATTGTATTCTCACAACCTGTTATTACAAGCAAACAACCAGTTATTACAAGCACACAACCTGTTATTATCTCATCAGGTATTAAAAATAAAATTTTAGGTCATAATGTTTATTTAAAGTTAACACTTTTTAATTTTAATAAAGGTTGGGTTAAGTAAAACTGACACTTTTTATATCTTGAATTAAAAAAAACTGAAATCAGCTACAAAGTTGATTTTTTTAAATTGAACGCTTATTAAGTCTAAAACAAAAATAAATAAAGAAAAGAATTAAATTTCTTCAGTACGATCAAATTTTTTAATTTTTCTTTTGATGGAAGTCATAAGGTTTTGCACTAGGTGAGATCCATAATCTGCGGTGGTTTTATCCCACTTCTTCTTAAAGTGAGTACTTCATTTTGCTTGCCTAAACTTCTTACATAATTTGGCTTTAATAATTGCCCAATATTGCTCAATTGAACGAAGTTCATGACAATTTGCAGGATTGTGTGCTCTAGGTATGAAATCGAAACTATTGGCATTGTAGAAGTTTAATGCGGATTTAGAGTAATGACAAGACATCAGGTCAGGCCAAAAACTTGCATTACCACCGTGGGCATTCCACAGTGGCAATAAGCGATTTTTAAGGCACTCTTTTTGATAGATTTCCCTATTTATTGTGGAGTTAGTGACAAAACTTTGTGTTTTTAATCCACATTGGCTTATGGCTTGCCAAACCATAATTTTTTTAGGGAATTTTTTTTAGTTTTGTTGTTTTAAATTTAGCCTTTACCTTTTTCCTGGAGACTCCCATATAAAAATGATGTCCTGGAATCGTTTTGAAATTTAATTTCACGTAAGTTTCATAATATAGTGATACTTTTTTTTTTCTACACAATAGATTGTATAATTTTGCTGCACAACTTTTTGCCACTAAATTATCTTCAGCATTGCAATCTGGGGCTTTATACATCTTGAAGAACTTGACTTTATGCTTTTTCTTTATAGTTCGAACCATTTTTCTGCTAGTTTTGTGTTTTAGTGCCAAATCTTGCTCAGAAATGTTAGGATTTGCCCTTATTTTTGCCAAAACATTTATCTTCAGTTTTTTGTTAATGTTTAAGCTGATGCCGCTTCCAGGCTTTCTATTTATTGTATTAAGTGTCAAATACTTATTTAAAGTTCTAATCACAGCGCTTTTAGAACATCCAACAGTTTTTACAATTGATTTGAGAAGCAATTTAGGTTTTTCCATTCAAGCATGCAAAATTGCATTACGCTCTTGTTGCTTTTTTGTTGCCATTTTGAATAATAATAGAAATTTAAAAAAAAAAATATTTTAATTGAAATACTAATACATAGATATTATTACATAGATTGTTTTTCTGTGTGATAACATTCTGTATGATTTTTTAGCGTCTTAATTATAGAAATAAAAAGTGTCAGTTTTACTTAACCCAACCTTTAATAATCTTTGTATTAAACATTATCCAGAATGTGATTATTTAGATATTTTTTTTAGTGTTGTTCAGCATTATCTATCAAAAATAGTTTATATAAAAGAAATGATTTTCAGCCTAACTTTTGAAAATTTTAATTTTATATAATAAGGATTTTTTTTTTTCTCAACCAGTTCTCTACTAGTTGTTGTTTTACCCCTCCCAACATCATTTTTAATCAATTTGACTTGATAAGTTTTATGACACAACACAGAGCATATACAACTCTTATTATGTGTTTTGGAACCACTGTATATATTTATATATATATATATATATATATATATATATATATATATATATATATATATATTCACTTATTTAACCATACAATTAAAAATTACAAAATTAATTATATTTTACAAAATATAATTAATTTTGTAATGTAGTGTCTCTTAAATACCTAAGAACTAGTCAATTAAATGACATCTTAATAAAATAATTATGTAAAGCAATATTAATAAAAAATCTTTTTATATGCTACAATTATTTAAATACTAAAATTAAAGTTAATTTAAAAATAAAAAAGAAAGAAATACTAAAAACAATAAAAGTAAATAGAATTGTAGAGTAAAAAAGTAAAGTGGATCAGATGGCATGATGGAAAATGAATATATGGGACAACACAATGTTTAATGAGATATGTTCAGAAACAACCCAGCAAACATTGTCTTTGTGGATTTGCAGCTACTCATTAGAGTTTTGCTCATCGGTTACTAAGTGGACCATTAGCGGCAGCCGCTTTAAATGGTAAACCGACAACGTTTCAAAATATAATAAAGGCTAGTCATCGGCTAACCACTTTTGGAGGCTGCCACTATTGGTCCACTAATGAAACCCATGAGCAAAACTTCAGTGGTCCGCTCAAAATGCCTAAATAGGTCCACTAAAATTCCACTATAGAATGTTTGCTGGGAATATTGTAAACAAACAAAAATGAGCAAAATATATGCAAATATACATAAACATACACACACCTTTAGATACAATATTAGATACGTTACATATATTTTTTACATTAAACTACATTAAACAGCAGTTTATATAAAAAGCAACAGCAACACAAATAAAAACAAACATTGTATAAATAAAACTGAAAACTCAATTGATAAAGAAAACTTTCAAAAAATAATTAGTATTAGCAATTTTGTTACATAAAATATACTCAACTTATAAATAATACAAAAAAATACTTAACAATATTAACAATGTGCTAAATTGATAAAAATTAAATAGTTATTCTTTTTTTGTTCATTTAATAAGATTAAATTTTTTTTTGGTAGAAAATTCTGAAGTTTGATATTATTTTCTGGTTTTTAACATTTTTTTCTTTTAACTTCTACTTTTTTTTCTTCCTTTTTTTTTTTTTAATACTGTTTTTTTTCTCACTTTCATTTATATATTTTAACCATATTTTAACTTCATTTCTTCTGTATCTTTTAAATAACTTTTGCAATTTTTGTTTATTCATTTGTCTTTTTTTTAATATTTTATCTTTTAAATAATTTTTGATCTTTCATATATTCATTTATTTTTTTTATAATGTCCTTTTTACTGTTAATTTGAAAGTAATATCTTGGTTTGCAATGTCATTGTGATGTGTTTTTGATAATGTTTGTATAAATATATATTATTACTATTATTGTATAAATAAATACTATTATTATTATTTATATTAAATATATATTATTATGTTGTATAAATATATACTATTACTATTTATATTATGATTTTTGATGTTTTTAAAATGTGTTTTAAATGATATTTGTATAAATATATATTATTATTATTATTATTATTATTATTATTATTTATGTTGTCATTTTTTTTTAATTAATAATAATGTAAATACTTGAAGATGTAAAAACAATTATATTTCAAAGTTTAGTTTGTTGTATAGGATGACTTATTTCATTCATAGTAATTTATCTTTATTATTTGACTATTTCATTGAGTCTTTGACATTAGACTCTAAAGACTTTTAAAAAATTTTCAACAGTGGTAAAAATTTTCAATAAAGGTAAGTCAAACATTCCATTTTAAATTCATGATTCTGATCTTATTACCACTCCTAAGGATAAGGCAAAACTGTTTGCAAGAATTCTCTTTAATTCTCTCTAAACTATTTAATAAGTGCTTGACTAAATCTTGTTTTCCTATTTACTGGAAAATGTTGTCTGTGGTTCAATATTTAGAAAATGAGGAGAACATTCTGACCCCTCCAACTATGATTCATTAGATGGAGGTGGTGAGGCAATCGCTATTGCTTCTGATATATCTAAAGCTTTCAATGAACTTTAGCATGCTGGTCTTCTCAATAAGCTTGCTTCATATGTTGACTTTTAAAACCTTTTAAATAAAGCAAACATCTTACTGGCATCTCCCTTAATCCACTACTCTACCTTTCCAACAGGAATCTCATATCAGGGGCATCACACTTGATCAATATCTCTAACATCTTCTTTTTTACCTTCTCATTAACATTATTGTCAGCTTGGGCCAGTATAATTAACTGTTTAGTTAAGTACCAAGCATGCCCCTGCATGCTGGCAAGTAGGGCCTGTCCTAGTTTTGGGTAATAGCCTTATTTTGAATGATGACTTAATAGCAGCCAAGTCATTTAAAAATGACTTGTTTGTCATACAGGCTTTTAAGAACCAGGTTCCTTAGCAAATAAAAACAAATAATGCTGCTGTCTTCTTCTCTTTTTCATTCATATTGTACAATCTTCTTCTCTTCTTCATTTATTTTGTGGGCTACCTTCCCAGTCTTCCTCAGGGTCAGCATACATAGAGCATCTGCCATGAACCTTATAAATTATTGTTATTAAAAATGTACTCTCCACTAAAAATAAAAAATATTGATAATATACTTTAACTATACCTGGCTACATGGCAGGGTCCATGTTAATAAAAATGAAATCTTTGTATATCTGCTCCTAAATAGTAGACAATTAGTTCATAGAGCTTCAAATTTTTTCAATTTTCTAAGGCCTTTTTTCAATGTTGTACAAGGATGATCCAATCTGAAGCTCATTCCAATCGAACCTGATGATCTCCTCCATCTCGTCCACCTCTTCCCTTACGCTTGGCCAGGCTTTCTGAAAAGTTATATATATTGCTCTTAGTTAGTTAAAATTAGTTAACTCAAAGTTAATTAAACTAACTTTATATTTTATAACCACCATTTATTTACCTTGACTTTTATTGTAGAATCAGAATTTTGAATTAATTCATAGACATAATTTTCATCTGTGAAAATAACAGCTTTTGAGCCTATTGCAGAGGAACCAGCATCAGAATCTAAAGAAACTTCACTTAGGGCCAGGTCCTTTTTTGTTGTTGTTATCCTTTCTCCACTTCTGTATTTTTTATATTCTTTATTCTCCGCAACCAATCCTGTCTGTTTTTAACAGATGTTTTGTATTCTTTTTCTACCTCTGTTGTAATATGCATTTTTCTATCCTCTTTCTGTTCTAAATAAAACTGAATTCCTCTGTCTTGGCCTCCTGAGAACAAAGTTGATGTGATTGGATCTTCTCCTTAAAGTTCTTCACATATATTTTGAAGGATTTGTTACTCTCCTCTATGAAATCTTCCTG